GAAGGGAAACTTCCGCCGTGTGATGTAGCGTCTAAAAGAGAGCATTTTTACAAGGTTTGTATTCATTTTCTTTACTTATGTGCTTCATTAAGTAGAAGAGAACTGATTGGTCTCTCTTGTATGATCCATAGTTTTGGAAGTCTCATATTAAAAGACCTGTGGTTTTGGTTGGGCCAAGCCTTGGTTCTGCTGTCGCAATAGACATTGCGGTCAACCATCCAGAAGCGGTACTCATTAGAAACATTACGAAGCTTTCCTTAGTGCCCAAAAAGAAGTTTATTAGTATAAACATGTTCAGAAGTTATTGACTATGAGAAGATATATGAATATTTAGGTTGAGTCCTTGGTTTTAATGGACGCAAGCGTTTACACAGAAGGTACAGGAAACTTGGCAACTTTACCCAAAGCAGCAGCGTATGCTGGAGTAAGTTCTCATCAAATGTACATAAAAGTGTATTGGAAACTTTGCAATAATTCTTTTTAACTATGCGGTTTGTGGGGAATTATGAATTTTGGGATTAGGTATATATACTGAAGAGTGTTCCATTGCGGTTATACGCAAACTTCCTTTCTTTCAATGGTATCTCATTGGAAACTAGCTGGGACTGGACAAAGGTAAACAAGATCTTCTTAGAAGTTCTTACCGATAAATTAGCTCCCGATCTGATTTTTCCTTTTCAAGCTCAATCTATAGATTGGTCGCTTGCATTGTCTATATCCTTGGTGGGAAGATGCAACGGTTAGTTTTATGACAAGCGGAGGATACAATGTAACTTCTCTTATAAAAAAGGTACGATCTTTTAGTCATTTCCGATTCATTTAAATTTCGGAATAAGATGAGAATTTATGCATTCTTGTTTAATGTATGATTTTGTTTCTGTATGCAGGTTTCACAGAAGACACTGATAATTTGGGGAGAAGATGACCAAATCATTAGCAACAAGCTTGCTTGGGTTAGCTTTTTTTCTGTCACTTCTAACATCTTCAATGGTCTCTGTATGCCTAAATCATTTCTTCTTCAATGCAGAGACTACACGGAGATTTATCGAATGCGCGTGTTGAACAAATATCAAACTGTGGACATCTTCCCCATGTCGAAAAACCAGCTGCTGCGGCCAAACTGATCACAGAGTTTGTTAAAGAGACTTCCCGGAGTAAAGAGGTTGAAAGTATATCTTAGAGCCTTGTGGCCATTATTGAAGCCTTGAAGGTGTGTATCTTACCATAGTCTTGTCTCTTTTAGTTGTAGTTGATACTTAACTTCATTCATTGTTGGCTTGTCTTTTTTTAAACAAATAAAACAAATCCCACACACCAAACTTCTTTATTTTTTTAAGTGAATGATTGATCAAAAGAAAGTATTTTTTTACATAACCAACGAGTTGGTAAAGTTGTTGTTGACAAGTCCTTATCATAAACACTCACCAATTCCTAGGTGGTCTGTTTCCATTCTCATCACTGAAA